AAGTAAGAAAACTTGAGGTGTTGTATAAGTCCAGTGGTCTTGCTTTGCACTTCTGAGATCAGCTTAGCATCTCAAAGTTTTGCATGGCATAGTCACACCTCTCCTTCAAGGCAGACACTCACTCTCATCACCTAGTTTATGAATTTAAGAATGCAGGTCTTTCACTGGCCCCTGGTGCTCATCACAATCTGAAATTTATTGATTTGCAAACCATTCATGCTGACTTGCTCTATTTTCTTTTCCATCACAGTCTAAGCCATGGTCTGAGAAACTATGTAAGTTCAGCTAAGGAGGTTATTTAGAGGTATTCAGTCTTTGCTCTGAGAAACTTGTGGCTGAACAGGCTTCATTATTCCCCTGCAGTGTTAGCTAGGTGTTAAACAGCAGGTGAATGCCTTGGCATATCTCCAGAGAAGCTCTGTGAAAAGGACAAATAGTTTTACTGACAGCAACAGCATCAGACTGCACTTTCAACCTGAGTATATTTGGTCTCCCCTTTCAGACCCCTTTCCTCTGAAGTTTTCCATAAGGATTCGTATATTCTGCAGCAGATTGAGCTCAGTATTCCTCCTTTGGAGGAGAGGTGCTGCCTCAGCTGAAGGATTTATTTTTACATTTCTAAGAAGATAGAACTTCACTGTAATTTGCACTATCCTGCTGATGTTAGATCAAGAGCTTGATCAGTAAGGAGCTTATTGAGATGAAAGTAAAATAAAGATATAACGCATTACAGGTCCTGTCCAAAGAACTGTCAAGATTTCAGCCCAAACACCTTATTTGCTGACCATCAGTGAAGAGAGCTATTATATCCTTGCATCAAAAAGTCAACATTGCACCTTTCTGTGCAAACAACAGTTTCACAAGTGTTTTTGCTTTAGCTGTGATTGTCAGAAAGGAAGTGTCAAACAGGATGCAATCAGACAGTTCATAAAATGGGCATGATTGTCTCACCGGAACAGTTACAGTGAGGTGAACTTACCATTGTTGCTAAAACTTCGTCCAAATATATTAATGTATGCTTAGTCTGGGGCTTTGGCAGGATGCTTTAATGCAGAAACAGCGTGCCCTTCCGTCCTCCGGGTGTTTGAAAGCTCTTTCGGTGTGAGTCATCGGAATCCTGTGGTTTGTGTATCCTGAGAGGAGAAGAGCTCTCTCTGATTATCAGACACTATGAAAAAGCAGCAGTTTGGAAATAAAATGATAAGAAAGTTCGTTATTGCATAGGAAATGTCTACTAATGACTTTTTTTCCCTAATTTATCCTACTGGCTTACTGTTATGTGTGGAGGTCTTGTGAGTGTACACAGTCCTCTCTAGTTTGGCTTCAGAGACAAGCGTCACTTTCCAGAAGTGCTACTGATTGATAGAAGGGGACTCTGCTTATGAGCTGAAAAAATTAAGATTTAGAAACCTACACTCTTGAATGATGGTCTAATTCCTGAACTGATGTGCAGATGTGTGCCACTGTGTGATACTCTTCAGTAGCTGTCAAGGTGTATCTTATCTTACACTATCTGATGGGAAAGGTGTCCATTGTTATGACCTCTGTTAGTGCCCCAGTGACAACTACCATGTTTTCCCAAAGTGATGTAGATTTCTTGATATGCTTTCTCAAGATGGCTCTCAGCAATATACACTATCTGATGGGAAAGGTGTCCATTGTTATGACCTCTGTTAGTGCCCCAGTGACACACAACAGACTAAAGCAAATGTGTTTTCCCAAAGTGATGTAGATTTCTTGTTATGCTTTCTCAAGATGGCTCTCAGCAATTTTTTTGTATTTATATCCTGCTATAATCAGTGTCCTGTCATTATGTTGTATTGCTGTGACAGAAAACATTAACAAAATGTTAAAATGTGATTAAGAATTAAAAATCTGGGTCTTTTTCAATCTCCTGTTATGCCCAGAGTGAAGTTGTCACTATATGGTATCTCCAACCTTTTGCAAAACTATTTCACAAAAGAGCTTTAAGAGAATGCTGTCACTGACACATTTGGGATGTATTTGCCTGATGGGCTTGTTGAAGCAACAGGAGTACCCTTGAGAAAACTCTTCTTTTCCTGGAAGAATAAAAAAAAGTGGCACAAAATAACTCCATAAAACTAATAACTGGTGACTAGTTCAGCAAGCTTGTGAAGCTGAACAACGTGTAGGAGAACTGTGGTTTGTGAGTTTACTTAGAAAAATAAAGGTCTCATAACCTTTCCAAAGATTTTTAATCCCACAGGAGGCCTTCTAATAATAATTTAGGGAAAATCCAAATTCTAGGAAGCATCTGGAACACATGGAAAGCACGTATTATATTTGAAGAATGATTTACAGAGTCTGCAGGCTAAACTTGAACTGACATCCTTAGCATCCTCTTTTTGTATTTAAAAGGATCATTTAGGAACAGCAGTCGAGTTGCTGTTTTACTGCAGAATGTGTGCATGCCACCTCTCATCCCCCACCCCAGCACACAGGCTCACTAGCAGGGGTAGGGGATGAGAGGGATGAGGGATGAGACCTGTGAAGGGTCTGATGACCACAGCAGTGTTGCAGTGGTGTGGACTGCAGCTATGCAGACATTTAGACAAAAGCAACCAAGCCCGCGGCATTTAAATGACCACTGTGCCACATTGATTAAGTAGGAGCCTCTTACCGTGTGAACAAGATCAATAATCTACCCAGTGTAGTAAAGTGTGTTGTAGCTTGAAGTAGTAACTGCTTTTCTTTGTGTTCTGCACCCCAGAAGAAGCTTTTTCTCCACACAACCTTTATCTTGACGGCCACTTTTTCGACAGCAATAAAAACGCAAGTCACTTCTAGAAAATATGATTAGATATTCAGGGTTATAAATCTTTTTATGGCTACAGGACACCAATGAGGTCAGTCTCAAGTAAAGTAAAATATAATTTATGTGAACATCTGGGTGACATCCAAAGTCTTTGGTTAAAGAGAATTACATGAAGAAGAGAGTTACAGCCAGTAAAATACTGGTAATAACAAAGTTAGGTACAGTTGGTGAAATTCTTCTCAGATGACGTAAAAACAACAGACTACCCTTTAATTTTCATTTGGGCAGTGTTTAATTCTAAACCCAGCAATTAGGGAAGTGAAACTTAAAAGATGGTGATCTGGAAAAAGGCAAAAATTTGCATGAAGCATTGCCCAGGAGAATGCAAATGAACTCTGTTTAACCCAGGACACTGTGTAACTGGGATTCCATTACAGAGGACAGAACAGTTATTTACAGGATATTGATTCGTTCTTAAATTTGATAGGGACTGTCCATAAAACTCCCAAGGCATACACAGAAAAAAAAAAGGTGCTCTGTTAGTCTTCCTCAGTAACATTAGAAAATGTAACTCAACCCCTGATTACAGAGACTGATATAGTCAAAATGTACACCAATATTTGCAGAGGCTTAGATGTTTATTGTTCTTCCTAACATATATAAGACTCACTTTTGCAATCTTATCGACCATTTGGAAATCTTGTGCCAATGTTAATCACCTGCATCACATACACTGGGGAGGAATTTGGCATGAACTGGTTTACAAGCTATTCTAGATTTTAGAGTGATTTCAAATTATAAGTTAAATGGCAGCTCTAGAAAATAAAGACCTTGGATAAGTGTATAAACAACAGTGTCTGATCTTGTCATATTTTATTGCTATGCAATTAATTCTAAATTACAAATCACAGAGTTCATTCCTATTCTGTATAGTTTCCTACATTCTCTTTCTAGTACTGAGTGAAGTCAGGAGAGAAGCTTTCACCACTACATAGAATTCATTGTAGGAAATGAAATAGTACAATGCCTCAGAAGAATTAGAAAACCTGTTTGTGTGCTGATATGAGTGTGCAGATATGTTTGATGTAGGTTCAATAAATATTGCAGTAAGTCATGGTGTTTCATCAAAACTGGCCTTGCTGTCGACAGTCTCAAAGATTAATGAGAACTACTCAACATCTGGACTGCCCCAAACAGCTGACATATATTGGTGGGGTCCTTTTTTCCACACCTCCACCAGACTGACATTTTTATTACTCCTTATTCCACTCAGAAATAACATTCATGGAGGATATACTTTCCTTCTGTAGGTTTTCTCAAAGTGGAAAACTTTAGAACACAAGTTACAGACATCGCATGTATTGCTGAAAGGAGGTAAATGAGATTTGATGCCAAACTCTCCTTACAAGGAAGGAGATAATAAACAGAAAAGGTATTTGTATAAATGGCGTGATTACATGAGTCTTCTGTTGTTACTAAAGTGATTCAACCTACCATTTAGGATTTTATTGGTAGCAGTTGAAAGCCTGTATAAATTGCCAGCTGATGCAGAGCTCCCGGAGATACCTTGTGTTTAGAAGGACAATAGAGGACATTTTATGGTAGTTATAGTATACTCACTTTTATGTACAACATACTATGTCCCATTTCTTTTGGAGGATTTCCTTCATAGTGAAATTATATTCCTACCAATAGAGGTGCTTTTCTCAACATGCCCTGCAGATGATAAGTTTTGCTGAAATCAAAATTTCTAATGTTTCTAAAAATTAGCTGCAGGTAGGAACATGAAAATCCTACTAATTTTGAAAAAAGCCCAACCAGGGTGGATTTCCTACAGGGCATATGTATTTATATGGGTAGTTGCCTGCTACAAGCAGAGTGTCTGATGCTCCTGTCAATAACCAAAGCAAAACTTCAATGAAAAAATTTCCAGCCTTTGGTGAAATCCTTCTTACAGCCATTCAGCTTTATTCACTGAGTGCTCTTTAACCTATCTTTGGTCATGGTCCTATAAGATTCTCTTTCAAGGGTCCTCACCCCAGGCCCTTGCATTTCTGTTAAATAGAGGAAGTCTTTCTGCTGCTAGCATCATGAATATCTCTGACTTGGGTTTGGATCACTTGACCTCCTCACAACCTTAAAACCTTTCTTTTCATTAGACATTCCAAATTCAAGAGTTCATGAAATCCTTTTCCTGTCTTTTCTTCCTGTCACTTCTTCCTAGGTGTCTGACCAGTTTCCACAGCAGAACATATCTCTCCTTTGCTCCAAATGAACTGTTTCTCCAGGCTTTACATCAGCTTTCCCAAAGCACCAGTCTCCCTTAGTAAAAAGCCATCTCCAACTTGCTCATTTCTGCATTGGACAGAGCATGGGTAGAGCTTGCAGTTAAGAATGGCACAAGACATGAAACGTCCAGAAAGATGAGCAGAGACAGCCCCAAGTGCACTGCATAAAAGTGGAGAAAGGAAGCAAAGATGTTCAGCAAAGTGCAATCAAAGTGTGAGGAGCAAAACCAAGTCAACACAGTTAATGTGAAGGTGAGTAAAGAGTTAAGTTTCCTATTTCTGAGTGGAAATCAGTTTGCTTTATGATTAAGAATGTTCTTTTCAGGTGTCTGTGAGAGGAATGTGAAATTCAGCAATAGAAAGATGAATCAGAGTCTGTTGCGGTTAGTTTGTAAATTCCCAGTGCATAGCATAAGATAACAGCACCCCGAGCCCTGAGTTCCTCCACTTTGAGGAAGCTCAACAACATCACCACATCAAGATATTTCTGCACATATGGATGTACATGCCTTGAAATCATGGAGAAAATTCCCTGTAAAGCAGGATCTGAAAGGCTGTGTGAGAGAGCAAATGGGTCACAGAGAAGTTATTATACAGCCTGGTAACTATGGAAGTGCCTTATTGTGGGTTGCTTGCTACATGACAGTGGATTTTTGTGGAAGACAGTTCTTGTGAATAACAACTATGAAAGGTGCCTACAAGAAGGATTTGAAGAGTATAAAAAGGATAATGGTGAGATCAGTCACTCAGTTCAAAAATATTGAGCATATGTCCCCATAATGTATATGTGAAATTCTAAGACTCAGGGTAACATAGTATTTCTATTAATGCTGTGTTAGTTGGTGTGACAGATGACAGAGTACATTTTAGTAGGTTTAAAATCTTGTCACTAATTTAGGTGCTAGTACCACAATAACTAGAGTCTTGTAACATACAGATTATTTCCCTCAAGATAACTTCAGACACACAGACACTCAAGAGAAAATAACATAGAAGAAATAGTGCATTAAAGACATTTTAGGAGGGTAGAACAACAAATGAGATTATGAAATACGGGAAAGTTACCTGCAGTGTCCTATATTAGTAACCACTGACTGTTTTTTCTTGTGTTAATCTAAAAATTGTAAAATTTTACCCTTTCTGTTGTATTCTGAAGCACTAGGTTTTACAGAGTTAACAAGAAAGCCTGACTTAAAAGTTCAATAAACATGAAACATTCTATATTCTGGAATCTCTTTGGCCTCCATTCCCCAATTTTGCTATTGATTCTGCCTTATAGTCTCCTAATTTTCAGTGACCAATTCCCCCAGCCAAAGGAGGAAGACTTTGCAGTTGGAAGTTGGTGATAGGTTGAGAAGAATTATTTTGGTAGATAAAGTGGGAACTAGAGGCCACTTACATACTATGTCCTGTCTCTAGAACCCAGGCTGCAAGTTCCTTGTACATTTTAACCTGAAATTTATTAAGCAACCAGAGTTTGCAGCTCTGAGCTGTCCAAGACCAACCTCAATGAGAAGTGAGCTCTTTACCATGCATTTCTCACTCCACCTAAGTCCATAAATGGGGTCTATCTGCTTTACTGGGGGATCCTCATTCAGAAGCTGCGCTCAAACCTCACTGGAACATGTGCTGCTGTACATGTGCATGTTGTTATGGGCCAGACAGGTACTCTTTATTTTCCACTAGAGCTGTTTTGAGGCAGCATTTTCATTTAAGTGGTGGAGGTACTAGAAAAATATGCTATTATAATATTCCTCTGCTTACTACTGAAATGTTGTGTCCTCTGCCTTTGATCCAAAGCTGGGTAAAGCTCATTGCACTCTTTCACCCATTGCATTGTTTTGATGATGGCCTTATTTACTTGCACAAATCCTCAAATAGCCATATAACAAACAGTCTTTTGTTTGACACCACACTCTATTTTCTCATCTGTTTTTGCTTTCAATGCCAGCTTGTTTATAACATATTGATATCATAACTTTTTACTTACCTAACAAGATACTGCCTGCCTGGCAGCAACATGAGGCAACAAAATTCCCTCCCTTATGCAGCAACATTTAACCTGCTCAGCAAGGGAAAAGATGATGTTTGTTTGAAATGCAGAAGGACAGATCTGTGGTGGAGGCTGATTTCCACACTTCAGTGGAAACCTGAAGTACATTCAGAACCTGTAGCACACTCATGGCACTTGAAGTCAGGGACACACAGCAAAAGCAGTTGTCACCTCTTCAGGACACGGATCCCTGTGTTCGGGTGTGACAAAAAAATTTCAGTAATAATCTGAAAAGTTATTCCAGGTTAGGAGTGGGTGATTAATTCTCTTTTGTTATGCTGACTGAACGGGAAGAACTTCTGACTGAACAAGGAATAGAAATTAAATAAACTCTGACTGAAACAGAACTACTTTCTGCAAAGGAAGCCAAGAACTAACTTTGGGTTCTTTCTAAAACCAAACATTTTGCATATTTCTACTATGCATGCTATGGTTCTTTTTCCCCTCTTCTGCTTAAATTAAGTCCCATTTAAAAAGAAAATTAAAAAAAACCAACCAACCAACCAAACAACCAAACAAAACCAAACCAAGCCAAACCAAACCAAAACCGAACCACCACCACCAAAAAAAACCTACAAAAAACAACCAAACAAAAAAATCACAACAACCCACAAAAAAACCCAGAAAAACAAACAAACAAACAAACCAAAACAAACCAAAACAACAACAACAACAACAACAAAAACTACCAAAAAAACCCAAGCATGCCAAAAAGCAAACTGCAGTGAAGTTTTAAAAATCTTTCTGTGCTCTGTTCTTAGACAAGTTTTGATGCATTAGTGCATGATTTGTGAATAGCTTTTCACCCTGAGCTACTTCTTTTTCTAGTGAAGTAATAAATTATTTAACTGTTTTGTCCTGCTCTGTTCCAGCCACTTGCTTGTCACATGCAAAACTGAAAGACACTTCAGTATTATCTGTGGTGCTTTTTTCCTTGGATGTGGTGCACAGCAAGAAAAGAGAAACCATCTTACTTGAAGAGCTCTGTGTTAGTTGCTATTAATTTCCAAAAGTGTAGCTTAAGCCTATCCACGAAACCAGTCCCAGCTGTACTATTCCCAGGTCAATTAGCAGTGTTCCTGCTGCACAGTACTTCAGAAGATGCTCAGGCGGTCTGTTGATCTTCAGGGAAACCCCTAGACTTCCTTCCTCATTATTCATGGGGATTTCCCGCTCTGCTGCAGAAAAACAAGGATCAAAATGTTTACGTGCTGTCTCGTGTCTCCAGATTCTTCATCTCACTTAAAGGCCTAAGGAAGTGAGCGGTCATAAATAGAATTCTTGAAACACTAGAAGTGGAAGCAATACAGGCACATCTTAAAAACTGTTTTACCAAAACAACACAAAAAATACCTTAAAGTTTTGGTGGTCTTTTTCATACTACAGGGAATACCAGGGAGCAAAAAGAAAGTAAATCTGTAGTTTTATAATTATATTTTGTTTATTAGCAAAGTAGGAGAGAGACAACAAAGCTATGAAGACATCTTATAGCAAAATGAATTAGACACAGGCCTGTGTGCAGTCTTTGAGATCTGTCTGTGTGATCAGCCTGTTTAATTACAAAGTGTTCCAGAACATAGATTGTTCAAATAAACACGGCATTGGGCTATGGAATGGATTTCTGCCTGTGCTGCTTGTTAAATCCAGCAGAAGAACAGCCCAGGTTTGCTCTGGGCTCCAGGAGTCACAAGTCTCCCCCTGGCACATGCAGTGTGGTGGCCCTGCCTCCTACAGCTCACCAAGCTGGTTAAACAAGTGCCACCTTCAATGCAACATACACTTCTCTCAAATATAGTAGAAAATAATGTGGTACTCAGAAAAGGTATTTTCACAGGTGGTGTTTGATTGATACTTTGTTTTCCAACAGCAACTATGTTGAAAATGCTGAATTTCAGTCACTGCCTAGAGAGACTACATGTGCTAGGTAAAAAAAGACTCAGACACAAACCTTGCCAGAATATACCTTGCATACCTTAATCAGTCCTTGACAGCTCTGAATTTCCATTTACCTGTTGAACCTTGTATTTGAGACAGGTATTAGTTATAGTGAGGATAAACAAACATTTAAATACTTAGATTAATATGTGTAATGGTGCCATTAGTCCATTGGAGATAGGAACTCCTTTTAGCTGTAAAACTGATTTTCTTATGTGTTTAGAACAAATATTAAATCACGATGAAAGAAGTTAATTGCCCACCAAAATCTGATGTGAGTAGAACTGACGACATCTCTGCCTAGTAATATAGTGTTTTTACTCCCTGCAAATTTCAGACTAGGAGTTTTTCTTGATGAATCTCATAAAATTTTGGTATCAAGTTAAAAGACAAGAAACACGTGTACCTACACTACTGATCATATTGTTCAGTTTTTCAGCAGTATAGGGATGGTTGCAGTCCATCTGCACGAATGCAAAACCCCCCTTGTTTGTCCTTAACTAACACACATGCGCCTGTAATCACACCTAGCATTTTACAACACGAGGAATTTGAAAATGAAAGGTAACAACTTTCACAGTAGATGAAAATCTGTCATCATAAGGCCTGAAATTTACTGCAGTCTGCTGAAATATGGTGAATGAAATTTCAGAAAAGCAATGCTCATATTTAGGAAAAACCCAGCAAATATTAAATAACTATGTTTTTGTATATTTTGAGAATAATGGGCCAAGTAAACCTTGGTAAGTGAGATTTTAACGGTGTAAATCATAGGCTTGATGACCATTTTCCTCTTAAGTTTGATTCTGCTGAGTTCTACATGAAAAAAACCCCAAAAAATTACAGCTCTGTGATAAAGAATTCGTGGAATTACACAGGAGCTAATTGTATATATCTGGGGAATCTGAGGGCTTGGATTGCTTGGGACAGAGATGCCTAAGAAATCTAACTGCACAGCATGTTCCCAGGCTGTGGAGAGATGCTGGAATAAGCTGCCTCCACCCAGAAGTGCCGCAGGAGCAGAAGGCTCTCTGCTTTGTTTCACTTCTCTTCCTAACAGAAGAGAAGACTTCCACCTAGACTCCCAGGACTCTGTGTTGATGAAGAAATGGAGCTGCAGAGCTGCCCCTCTGGTGGCACTTTCTCAGCCACTGTAGTGGACAGCAGTGATATTGCCAGACTTACACGCTGTAAGGGGGACTGAAGCTGGGAAAAGGCCTCTCTCTTGCTCCAATGGTGGTTGCTCTGTCCAAAAAGAAACATAGGAAATACACTGCTCATGTCAGATTTAGCTGTGAAATATGCATTCAGATGTCATTCTAACCCTCCAATTTCAGAAATTATGAAAACAAACTTAATTTCTTTTGGATAACAGAAGTGGTGAGAAAACTCTTATCCTTAAGACAAACCCCTCAGCATGGCCAGATGGGACAGTAATGTAAAGCTTAAGAAAGCAAAGCTGCCCAGCTGTCTGATTTACTGAAACATGGACACTAAAATTGTTACAGCATTGTACCTAATTTCTTGGAAAGATGGGCTCTGATATGCTTCATTTGTTGTCATCCAGCTTGTTTACTTTACACTTTATCCTGATGAAGGACGTAGCTACAATTTCAGCAACTTTTTCAGTCACCTTTCGTCCTGTCCTACCATGGTGGGATAAAAGTTTAAGGGGCTGGGACACAATGTGCTTTTTCCAAATGACAACACTAGATGGTATCCCTACACTTCCCAAAAAGCCCACACAGCCTAGCCTCAGCTCGAAATCTCAGAAACAGTGAAAACAATGGAGCAATATGATGCGGTATGATGTCATGTATTATGTGTGCATGTGTCTCTGTGTTTTAATTCTCACACGCTATTCATGTGCTTAGTTAATGATATGAGAAGCTATTTTCTCTGTTAGTCTCTGGTTCTAACTATTTTAAGCACATGAATGCTGCTTCTTTCCTGTTTTCCCCAAACACCCACACAGAACCGGAGGACAGCTAATTTGAGGATGTTAATTATAATTCCAGAGAACAGGACAGATGTTAGTAGTTCTAGTGACAATCAAGTGAATGCTCTCTGTGTAAGGAGCAGCTGTCCTAATCCAAGTTACCTTGAATTCCAATGTAGTGTTTGTGTGCATGTGTCTCTGCCAGACTGACACGTGCGCATCGTCAAATGTCTCTCTAATAAAATGTTCTTTACACACTGTGCTGAATCTAAAGCTCTAAAGATTTGACTCTTTGGTGTCTCAGAGATCCATACAGAACTTCATTTGTGAAAGAAAAATCCAATCTGAAAACTTAGATATGAAAGGCATTTCACCTTTGTTTTATAGTGCTTTAGGTGTTTTGGGGGTATTTTTGGATTTCAGCAAGGAGTATGGAAATTGCAGGAAGGCACAAAGGGTGGTCAAATGAGGAATAGACATACTGAATGACTACTGCAGCACCCTGCAAGCTCTTTCTGCAAGGCTGGACCACCTCAGCTAAGCTGGATCTTCCAGCTAGTCGGGTTTATTCATCTGGGAGCTCTCTGCTGCTTGCACATCCCAGAAGACACTGACGGGAAGAGAGTGGCAGAGACTAAAGCACAGATAAGTCCTGGACGGTGTCTTGCTGTGAGCAACACAGAGCAGATGACACATCTTCTCAAGCTTCTCTGTAGTTGTGCTGTAAATTGCAGTGTCTTCCCCTGACAGTGCAGCGGTGGCGCTGGGTGACAGCTTTGGAGGCAAAGCCAGAATTGTACTTCCAGTGCCCAGGAAAAACAGCAGCTCGTGGTTGAGTTGGGTGTGTTTTGGTTCAGTGGCTGGCACTGCCAGGCGTGCTGAGGGCTCCCTCCCCCCTTCCCCCACACCTGGGCCACACAAGCCCTTTGCATGCCTGTGCCAGGAGTATCAGAGTGTGGTTAATTCCCCTCCTGCTTGTGGTCAAACAGCGAGCCCTGCTGAGGCCAGGGCTGGTGCCATCTGATTTCAACCCTCCTGCTGCTCATACAACCTTGTACTTGGTGCTCTGGGGTTAAACTTCCTTCATGAGGGTTACTTGAATGAGAAGATTGTTCTGGACCTCAAGGGGACGTGAAGTAACTGCTGCAAGGAGAGGATGCTAACAAGCTGTGCAGCTGATTTCCCTGGCAGCATTCAGTGCTGATATTAGCAAATACCACTGGTTTGTATCTCTCTGGTTAAGGACATGGTGAGACTTAGGGTTAGGTCTTTGGGAAGATAGAAAGAGTGAATCTGGGTACTTAATTTTTGTTTTAGAAGGTGGAGTCAGATTAAGGTTGTGAAAGCAACGTGATTTGTTCACAGTTGTTAGGAATAGAAGGTGCTGATGTCTTAGTGACTATGCTGGTCACCAATATATTGGTAAAGACTGGCAGCTGCCTTAGGGAAGGGGAAGGCATGAATGAAGAGCAGGCTTCGTTTATGGGCAGCTGTCTGTTTCCTTGTTGCCCTTTTTTCCAACTGAATAGGTAAACTCTAAGGCTGGCACTACAGCCTGGGCTACTGAAGTACTCTGAAAAGTAGAGGTAACCCTGATTCAGAACTATTTTTAGTTAAGAACATTGAACAGTGTCAGATGTGGGCTAAAGTAGCTCACAATGAGTGAACTGTTTCTTCTTTGAAAGGGAATACCATGGGGAGATGCAAGAAAGGACTGGCATATCTATGAAATTTATCTTCTCTGTTGTGCTGAAAATTTCCCTTCATATGTCCATGACAATCTTCAAAAATGCAATTCTAAGCCTTGGTAGTTGAAAGTAACCTTACTTCTTATCTTCTAAGCTCTTGTCATGTTCTTGGTGCTTCTGTACAGGTCCACAAAGACACAAATGTGAGCCATGGACAAATATAATGCCTGAAATGTTCCTAGTTGTACAATTCTGCAGAAAGTCAGATATTTTCTCCTTATTTTGTTGAGTGAAGCACATGCAAGTGGGATTCACAGGAATTTTCTCTCTCTTTAGTCCCCATTGCCACAGATTTGTCTTATCCATGTGTGTCTTAACATGACAGGACAGATGTATATTCTGAATATTCACCAAGGACCTATTGGATGTGTGTGTCTAAGTACAACCATGCAAAAAGCAGTGACTTGTTTAAAGGCCTGAAAGGACCTGCCAATCTGGATTTCCAAAAGTTAGATGAACAAGGAATGGAATAAAATAGAAATACAAAGAAATACCAATAAAATAGAAATACTAATACCAATACAATACTCTGCAACTGTTATATTGAATGCTCAAATGGAAAAAGCCAGCTGGGATAAGGCAATGTTTGATAGAAAAAAGTGCCATAACTTGCCTTTTGCTGCTCTGTGTGACTTTACAAGAAACAAATAAAATATTTACAGATATAGCTGGTTAGATAGAGGTATAGATAAAGAGCCAGACACTGCCCATCAGTGCCCAGTAAAAAGACAAGAGACAATGCACACAAAGCAAAATAAAGGAAATTCTAGTTAAACACAATTACTATTTTTTGCACTGTAAAGGTAATTCAGCACGAGAGTCTTCATTCTAGGAAATATAAAAAAAACAACTGAGTGGAAATAGGCTTGGACAACCTGGTTGACCCTCTTTTGAGCAGAGAACTGAAGTAGGTAATTTCCAGGGGTGCTTCCAACCACAACCACTCTGTCATTCTGGTAAAAAAAAAAAAATCATATAGAATAATTTCTATGATTTTAGATTAACCACAGCAAGAAAAAACAAGAATACACTAACAGTAAA